TTGGAGGAATAGGACTCGAGTTTTCTGCAACTCGTATCTGATCTCTATATGTTTATTATTGTTTTGGTTAGCTAATAAAATTAATTAGGTAATACTAATGTCAAATTGTGATTTGCGAGAAGGCTTAATTAATGAGGTTACCTCTTTATTTTTCATTCATTAAAATTTATCCATGTGATTTATAAATTTCTATTTTATGTCAAGAATAGAAATTAAATGAGGTTACCATACAACTGTTTTTTTTTTTTATGTCAAGAATTTCTAGGTTGTAGCTGCACAAGAGAGGTAAATTCAGTTCTGGGGGATATACTTTGGCTTCCTTATCATTACATATCAAAGTTTGCAGATCTGAAATCTTCCAGTAGCTTTGTATGAGGTTTTCCAGTACCTTTGAGTATACATTCTGCAAGCTAAGCAGCTTGCCAGGGCTCTTATTGCATATAAATTACTAATAGATACTTTAGATTTGTAATTAAATATTCCTGGAATTTTAGCCTACTTTGTAAAATTAGAACTCTTGTACTAAATTTGTTGATTACAATGACAATTAAAAAGATGATATGAAGGCTTATTATATTTGTTAGAACATAATGTTTGTGTTCCATTTTTGAGAGTATTAATGTCATCTTATATATTGATCTAAGACTATTCTCATAGCGTTTTTAGAACACACAAATAGTGTCCTAATATAAAAAAGAAGACCCATGTTGGATACTATGATGATACATTTTAGGTGTCTTCTTATTGATATAAGGACACCTTTTGAAGAAATTTTGGTGTGTCCTTGTAAAGAATAGGCAACACATTTTAGGTGTCCTTGTTTTACACTTATTACGACTCCCAGATAGAGGACACATTGGTTAAATGTCCTTGTATATAATAGATGACGTTTTTTACGTGTCCTTGTATCCCCTTTTTCTTGTAGTATTTTCGCCTAATATATTTATAAAAAAGAAACAAAATATAAAAAATCTCATTTATATAAACTTCTGTTTAGATACCGAATTTTTTATAAAATTGGAAGTGATGCAATAAAAAAATTGGGAAAAAAAAATTTATGGTGTAAAAAATTTATAAACTTCTGTTTAGATGCCAAATTTTTTTAAAAATATGGAAGTGATGTAATATTTTTATTACCATTCAACGAAAAATAACGATTCGTAATTTATATAATTTCCATTTAAGAATGAAAAAATTTATTACCATCCAACTAAAAAATTTATTACCATTCAATGCATGTGACATACAAGGTAAAAATGTCACGTTAAGGTGTAAATTTATTAATTAATGCATTAAATTTACAGATTCGTAATTTATATAATTTCCAATTAAGAAACTAACCATTTTAATCATAGAATGTTATATTGATATTGATATACACATCCCGATTATTTATAATATCACATTAAGGTTACAAATTTGTTTCCTTTTCGGAAATAATTATTTGGTATATAATTTACTCCCGTCTTATGCTTTGTTCGGGACATATTTACGAAATTAACGATTAAGGATATATTGTTCTCAACTTTTAAAACAATCACACGTAAAACCAATAATGGGTGTGTGGACAACTTTGACAATATTGATGATGGTTTAGGCCCGTTCATTGTGAAAGTGCGAGTTGTAAGGATTTATCGAACGGGAAAAAATAACACTTAAAAAGAATCCTTGTAAGTAGGGGTCGAACCTCAGGGAGACGTGAGTTAATTTAATTTAGACAAAAGTTACAAAAGAAGTTGTAAAACATTTTTGTTCTTTTTGGTTTAGAGATAAAATAAAAAGTGTAAAAGGAGAGAGTTCCAAACAACACAAAGTTTTTGATGATAAAAAGTTAGGGGTAGAAATTGGTAAATTAATTGTCCAATGTTTTTATAAAAGTTGGATTGTTAATTTATTTTTATATAGAATGTGTGAGATTACAGAAAAGTATTTAGGGACGCCCTCGCAGTTCACCTATATAATAACCACTCCGACTTTAATTAACACTACTAGTCTACTACTACTATTGTATCTTGATTTTAAAAATAGCAATGAAAATTCATGATTTAAAGTACGTGTTACCAAAGACAAAAGTCACACAATTCAAAATTGTATCTTGCTCTATATATGTGAGTTTAAACATAGCCTAAGTCAGTTTTTGTTATGTTGAACTCCCTCCGTCTCTAAATAGATTACAATTTTTTTCTCTTCTCTCGATAACTTTTGTTTGTTTATGCGATTTCATTAAGTATTTGATAAAATACAATATTCTTGTCACCTCTTGTTTTGTAGAACTTTTGACATAGTTTTTTAATATGTAATTTTTATATCTTATTGATATACCAATTTGTAAATAAAATGATTTCAAAAAGAAGGAAATTTTACTCCGTAATCCGCAATTTGTAATCAAATTGGGGACGAAGGGAGTATGATAATCATTTGGGTAACATGAATGGATTAATGTGCATCTAATTACCTGTAACAACAACGAAAACAATCATTATTTCTGCAACACAATTTAGGGCTTGTTTGGGAATAGCGTTAGAGATTAAGGTTAGTGTTTTAGATAAAATTTTAACGGTGCAGATTAATTTGAAAACGCTAACGCTAAACGTTGCCCGTAGATACCATTTTGAAAACGCTAACGCTAATCTCTAAAACTATTCTCAAAGAGGCCCTTAACGTCTTTGGGCTACATCTCAACAAAAAATGGGCCCAGAAATTACCTGGCCTGCCCCCACCTAACCTAGGTTTCAACTACTGTACCTTCTTTTGTTTGCATGGGGATACGTGCGGGAGAGCAGTTGAACCGAAACCAATAAAATAAGTAAAATGTAAATAAATTACTACCTCTATCCCAAAAAAGATTTATACATTTTGATTAAAGTTGGAATTAAGAAAGGATAATTTTGTTTTGACTTTCCAAAAATATCCCTGATGTGATGGATAAAAGTAGGATATGATGTGTAGATTATTAGGAAAAAAATATGATATGATAAGTAGGATTTAAAAAATTAAAGTGTAAAATTGGTTTTTTAATAAAAATAGTTAGAAGATTATGAAACGCTATTTTTTTGAAAAGGGTAAATTTTTTTAAGACGGAGGGAGTAATTGGGACGGAGGGACGCGTATATATTCAGTACGACACTATACAGGTGAATGCATACATACATACATAGATACATACATACATATATATATATATATATATATATATATATATATATATATATATATATATATATATATATATATATTCAGTACGACACTACTACTACAGTACTACTAGTAATTGATTAGATCAAATAAAAATATGAGTCCTTTAGTCGTCCGCAGCGGCCTAATTGGTGGGATGACCAGTTTGAGGAGTACCTTATGTACCATTATCATCTTAGCTCTTGCACTCGGTTTGTACATACCGTACGTCTTTAATTAATTATACAATATAAAATCGCTTTTATCCCTATTCATTCTCAATGAAACTATCACATCATCTTTATGAGACGGGGAGAGTATACAGGATCGTATTCCAATTTCAAACCTTGCTTTTACACAGGAACATCTTTATGAGATGGGGAAAGTAATAAATACCTACTCCCTTCTTTAAAACTGTTCACGTTTTCATTTTTGCAGAGTTTATTTTTGTAATTTCTCTTTCCAAAATGGATGAAGTATATTAGAATGACTTTATTTGTGTATATTTACCATTTTAATATAAAAAAAAGTATTCAGATGAAAGTGAAAAAATGAAAGAGGAAGAGTTTTAACGAACGCACGGAGTAATTAATTTTATCTTTTTTGGAAGCTATAGGTCCGATTGTTGGGAGTGGTGATTATATCGGGTGCAAAGCACCATGTCGTACAGATTCCGATTGCGCAAAGCCTTGCCAGAAAGTAGGCGGCGGATTATGCTATGGCTTCTTCAAACACCCGGGACCCGGAACTTTTAATCGTTGTTGTTGTAATGCTCCTCCAACAATATAATAATAGCTGCCTGAGATGGAAAAAGAAGCTAATTATAATGAAAAGTATTAATTGTGGTGTCCTAATAAGGAAACACTGATGTGTTTTTTTAATTTAGTGTACTTTTTTTATTTAGAGTATTCTTTACTTAATGAATTATTTTGTTTTTAGTTTAATTATTTAATAAAATCTTATTAATTTACCTTTATAAAAATGTATTCTTGAAAGCAGGAGAATTATTTTCTTGCCCAATGCACTCATCTCATGCACTGTCGATTTCAAAGAACAAAGAAGATCTACGGCTATGATGCGTTGTGTAATATTGCCGATTTATTAGAAGGATAAATTAAAGGAAATTTCGCCTAATTCAATGTTAGGAAACAAATGCACTGCGCATGACCGAAAAGGAAGCTAGGTAACTAATATGTTGACCAATTAAATTGATTACTTGACTGTAATCAATTTACGTAACTAATATAGCAATTACTTGATTGCGATAAAAAAGGAAGAGACGGATTAATTGTTTGATTTTGTTTCCTTTTCACCTAATATATTTCTAAAAAGGAAACAAAATATAAAAAATTTTATTTTTTATATAAACTTCTGTTTAGATACCGAATTTTTTATAAAATTGGAAGTGATGCAATAAAAAAATTTGGAAACAAAAAAAATTTATGGTGTAAAAAATTTATAAACTTTTGTTTAGATGCCCAATTTTTTATAAAATTGGAAGTGATGTAATTTTTTTATTACCATTCAACGAAAAATAACGATTCATAATTTATATAATTTCCAATTAAGAATCAAAAAAATTTATTACCATCCAACTAAAAAATTTATTATCATTCAACGCACGTGACATAAAAGGTAATAATGTCACGTTAAGGTGTAAATTTATTAATTAATGCATTAAATTTACAGATTCGTAATTTATATAATTTCCAATTAATTAAGATAGAAACCATTTTAATCATAGAATGTTATATTGATATTGAATTAAATTATTATTATTATTATTATTATTAGTATTATTATTATTATTAGTATATTTGTATTGTACATACATTTTACATTTAATAATGTATGCAAAGTGATGTCAAAAAATAATAAAAATAAAACATATATGCTACTCATAATTCAATCCCAAACAATCAAAGGTTCACAATTGTTAATATAATAGGGTTTTGACATAAAATAAATATAGTACTAATTAAACATGACAAAATTGTTAAAGTATCCTAAACGATTAACATCTAAGCTTCATCTTTTCATTTCATTTTGTCACATCTATCTCGAATGTAATTCCACCCAAAGTCGTAGAAACAGAATGACATCTCTCATATTGACCCTTGATCTGCATATCAAAAAATTAAAATTAATAAAGAAATAATCTAGTAAGCAGGGCACGTATAAAACAAATTAAATAGTGTTTAAAATGACCATAGCAACCAGAGCTAAAGGCATGATCAGATAGGAACTGAAGATTCAAGTTTGCACTACAAACTCAACCACCAAAGCAAGCGGTTTAGCAGATAGGAACTGAAGATTCAAAATTGGCCGCCTCAGCAATTCTGGATGCTGAATGTAGTGACCCAAATTATCATTATTTGATCTTTTGCCTTCATACTCTACTTAACTGTCCTATATGTAAATGCAGTACGGCCAGAACAAGAATGAAAACCCAATGAAGCCTAATGATACAATCTTTTCCTTTCTATCTAACCCTAACTTATTGAGTGGGAAAAAGGCAGAGCATATAAAAGTACTCTGTATTCAAGTATGGTGCAAAACAAAGACTAACACTTTAGTTAGAAGCCCCCAATTGCACTAAAACCTAAGACTGAGCCATTAATTGTGTATGTGACCTCTTTCCAAGATCTTTTATTGACACAAAATGTAGCACAAAAAAATAAACAAAACAAAAGCACGAATACAAATTCTCAAATTGAAGTCCCCATCTACCTCGCGCAAATGACAGAGATCTCAAATTGAAGTCCCCATCAACCTAGACCGTGCAACGTTGCCGCACTTGATGCACTTAGGATTATTAAGCCCTCGAAGATTCTTCGTTGAGTTAATGTTAGAAGGGGAGAAGACTCCGACGGCAGAGGGATCCACGATGGAGTTGTTTAGGGAAGGAGAAGATGGCTACCAATGGCACTATACCTAACTGTACCTAATGTGATTGACCCTCCCATATGGACAATAGATATAAAAATATTGAGGGCTTGGAGGGCATACACAATACAATGCCTATTAAGGATGAAGATATGTGTGCTGCCACAACCTCTCCAACTATTAACCAATTTGGTCCCTTAACTAAACATTTGGATCCAGACAATACTCCTCATCATGTTTGTTTAACAACCGAAGCTGCTGATTCCTCCACCCCTGAAATAGCTAGGCGGCCAGTATACAACTTCAAGGGTAACCACACGGAAAACAACTCTAAGTGTTCACATACAACTTCAAGGGTAACCACCCCTGAAATAGCTGGGCAGCCACATGCAACTCTAAGTGTTTTTTCTCACATCCCATGAACAAAGAATTGTTACAGGCAGTTACTTCAAATGGATTGACATCAGACCAATCAAACATATTTTGCATGCAAATAGTGCGGAAAACAAGGCCACAAAATGTACAAAGTGGCAAACTGTACAAAGTGAATCACTCATTCACCACAAAATGAGAGCAGGTAATTAGGTGAGAAGCTAATGAGAAAAAACAAATGTAAAGGGGACTATGCCTAGCCACGACATGCAAGTGTAGGCTATTGCTTTTTATGAAACATGGTATCACAGCACCCACCCCATTTAGAATATTTAGATATTCTTCGGGATATTAACTTCTTACAAAAAAGGGCTTATTTTACCCTCATGTTTTTCTACATATTGACATATTTACATGGATCAATCACGTTTCTTCTTTTTGTGATTGGGCCTGTTTAGCATGTATTGTCTTTGGGAAACTTACAAAAGAGAAATGACACTAATAATAAATATTTCATAGATAAATCAGTACCTTGTATCATTCGAGGGGGCTATGCTCCTTGGAAGTGAAATGAACTTTTTGAGATGAATTACCTGATGCCCTCTATACAAAAGATAGCTAGGTCGATAAACAGTAATCATATGCATCTTAAAATACATAAAAATGTATGGGAACTATATATACCTCTGAACGTGGTAAAGAAGCCAATCTTTCCTCTAGAGCACGGATACGAGCTTCATAAGTTTCGTTAATTTCAGACACTCTTTTATTCACTTCAGTATCAATCCTCTCTTGTTCAAGAACCTTTGTAATATCTTTCTTCACATAAGAATGAAATGACAGCACTCGTCCCATGCCCCTTTTCAAGTCAATAATTTTCTTAACATCTTCCTTGGTCACTTGAAAGTTGTCACAATTGCGAATGGTTGATTCTAGAAAGATCCTGATTGAGTAAGGCAGCTTATCTTCATACACATGAAATCAAGAAATTATAGTTAAAATTTAGAAATAGAGTACGAGAATCTATTTAATTCACATAATTCTATTAGATAGTTATATCAATCCAAAAAATAAGAACAAAAAAATGAATTCAAAAATACATTGTAAAAAGCTCTTGGTTATACCTTGAAATAGAGTGCTTAAAAAACAGGCACTCCTGATACTATATTAACAAGAATTTCAGCTACAAGCTAAACCAAGAAGACCCATTGACCTTGTACATCTCGTTCAAGAATTGGAATTGGGGGACAAGATGTATGCGCATCTTATCTCTATATGTTATTATCAGATCAAGCGAGCATGCAATCTTTGACAAGCCTGAGTGGGACCCCTAGCTCTCTATTGCCACAGGCTTATCCAAAAGCATCATGCCTTTATTCCAATATCTTTGTTCTAATCTAAGGAAAAAGGACAGAAAATTTGATTTCTAATTTTGATATGTTGTTCTCTTAATCTCAATCCTGATTCTCTCAGAATTAGTTGTTTCAGAATGAGTTGTTTCTAAAGAATCAAGCAGTTGAATACTTCTCAAAGTCAAATTCTAGGAATCAGAAATGGAAATCTTTTTCCAGAATTTAAAACAAATGCAACATTTTTCTATTCATCTTTTTCGAATCAAAACCAAATGAATCAAAATTCTTGTCTGAAAGATAATGTCTTGTTCGAAAATCACAACATACCTGGCCCAGTTGATACGACGATGGAATCTCCTGCATCCATTACCCAATCAATCCAAAACACCATTCCATGACACAATCCTGGCTCTGTAAATTCAAACTAAAAACTTGTAACTTTTTTTTTAACTATATTAGATTCTGGGCTGTTGACTTTTAGTGAGAAACTAGAACTATGATTTTTGAAAGAAGGATGCAAGAATATGATAAACAAATCACCTCAGCTTCTCCTAAGCACGATCACATTGGTTCTTGGAAATTGAATTCCATTACAGTAAACGTTTCACTCAGTTTCTGCAATGATTTAATTTAACTCATTTGATCAACTCTAACAGGTCCTTGAACGATTCTTCCTTCGTCCCGAAATAACTTCACACTTTTGACTTTTCTTTTTTGCTTGTCCCAAAATTGATGTAACACTCCACCCAATTCTTTTTTTGGTTATGCTATGCTAACACCAAGGATGACACCACTAAATGTCTCACATACACGCACCAATTCCCAATTCTCAAGTCCTTTGTAGTAAGAAGAAACCAAAATGGGAAATGTAAATATATGGACTTTACAACACAACAAACAGAAATTATACATGCCGCATATGGACTGAAACTAGAACCAAACCAATTTTTAATCATAATTAAGAGCCGAATTCATATCATATTTGAGAAAATTAGAAATCAATCCAACATCTAACACAATCAAATCCCAATCAAAATCTATCCACACTGTAACACATGACATAATATAGGAGATAAACTAGGAAGGAATTGAAGTAAAAAATCGGATTTGGATTTTATACCAACAAATAATTAGTGGCTGTTGGAATTTGTTGGATTTGGTGCTGAAATTTCGTTCAATCGCCGTAGGAAGTCGTCGTTCTCTGTCCTTTTCCATAGCCTAATTCGCTGCATCAATCGATGCCAACCACTGCTGCTCGCCAATTACACGCTCGACTTTACTTCGAACCATCGCAGAACTAGGCCGGGTGCTAGGGTTTGAAACCCCTAGTCCTGGCATCGTCTCGCCGTCGCCGATCGTCAACCCCTGCATAACAGTCATGATCGAAGAATCTGATGTCCTCAATATAGTGGACTCCATCTATTTCGTACAGTACTCCCTATTTGGGGTAGATGGACCTTTGGGCTTAGCTTTAGGTAAATTTATTTAAATATTGTAACAATTTTATACAATTGCCACAATAAGTCTAATATCTTGTGGCAAATTTCTAATTGCTACAAATATTTGTGAGTTATTTATATATTGTGGCAAATATTAATTTTGCTACAAAAACTTTACCACAAAATGTCATATTTTTTGTAGTGAAATGAACTCTTCAATCTGGTAATCAAAAGCATGTAACTTTCTCATAAAAGTGTACGTGTATGACGCGATTAAAAAATTGATCAGGATTATACGACGATATCAAATCTGAATTTATACCTTCAAAGAGTTGAGCACAATGTAAAAATCCAAAAGGTAGAAGACATACAAATGAGCCAAAAGCTGCTGCTTTGAGGCCCCCAAAACCATCCATTTTTTAACCTAAAAATTGAACCCCAAATAAAAAAATCTCAACAATAATATATAATTGTATAAAAGTATCATGCATCCAAAATCATATATCCAACAAATCAAACACTAACGAAGCATCTAATAATCCAAATACAAACAATACTCCCGATTTCAAAAATACCTAAAATAAATGGGATCCAATACACACTGTCTGATGTACTTAGATAAAGATCCAAGCATGGTTCTATTGTTCCACGCCTCATCCAAATCCATTCATGTCCTAATTTCTTTTCTTAATATCTTTGGCTTAAGAAAAGATACAATATTAGGGATTTAGACATGCCCCAATCCAGAGACGAACATGCGGCTACTCTTGGGAATCGGACATGGTGAACTTCAACGGTGAGGCAATGAGCTCACAGACTGTGAAATTCGATCACCTGGGCTGAAGCTTGAGGAAGCCATTGATTCCAGTAGAAGCCTGAGATGCGATTGAAAAGAAATCGAACGAAGATATGAGATTGCAGAACAATTTTACGCCGACCTTTTGAAAAAAATTTGAAAGAAGAGATAATTTGAGAGAATACATATGCTGGAGAAAGTTCCAAACCAGGTAGAGAAGTCGCCGGTAATGGAGTGCCGGCCTGTAGAGGAAAGGGGCGACGGGCGACAGATCGAAAGCAAAGGGATGAGAGAGGTGGAGCGGCAATAATGGATAGAGGGAATTGGTTTTCAGCTATTTTGGGTTAGGTGGGAAATGTGGGATTAAATTGTGTGGAGGGATCATTTAAAAAAGTACAAAATTAGTTTATTACTCCCACCTAGGGGTGGACACGGTACAGTTCCGGGACGGTTCCGGTTCCGGTACCGCCACCCCTTGGTACCGGTACCGTGACCGGACCGGCCGGTACCGGTTCCGGTACCCGAACCGGCGGTTCCGGTACCGGACCGGCCACCCCCAATTTTATTTTATTTTTGCTTTTGTATTAAATTTTTAAAGTGTAAAATTGATTTATTTTTTTGATTATTTTTTGAAAAATCAAGTATCCATAAAAACAATTGAGATCTATGAAAAATATTAAGGAGTAAATCTAATTATTGAAAATTTTGGAAGAAACTTTGAAAGAGAGTAACCTTGCTGGACTATTGGAGATGAGGGGCTGGACCGCTGTACCGCCGGACATGTTGCAGGATTGCAGAGTTGCAGGGAAGAAAAAAAAACATTACACGGTACCGGCGGTTCCGGGACGAAAATTTTGGAACCGGTACCGGTTGGGGCGGTTCCGGTACCGGTTCCCGGCACCGGTGTTACGAACTTTCCGACATGACGGTATATGGTACCGGCGGTACCGTTGCCGGAACGGTACCGCACCGGTACCGTGTCCAGCCCTACTCCCACCGTTTCTTAAAACTCTTCCTCTTTCATTTTTTTTGTTTTTCTTAAAACACTTCCCCTTTCTATTAAAAAATCACTTTTACCCCTACTTTTTCATACCCTACCTATCACATCATATTTTTTCACTAACAACTAAACTATCACATCTTACTTTTACCCATCACATCAAGGGCAAAATTGGAAAGTCAACTACAATTTAACACTTCCTTATTTTTCCCCAAAGTCAAAAGAGGAACTCTTTTGAGAAACGGAGGTAGTAGTAATTTCCCTCCTTAATATTTTAGGTTTAGTAGCAATTTTATAAATTTGCTACAATAAGTATGCTATTTTAAATTGCCACAAAAATTAATAAACTCTTTATATATTGTGACAAATATTTATTTTGCTATAAAAAGTTAGCCACAAAAGATTATATTTCTTGTAGTGCATTGAAAAAGTTGTTAGTCGTACCATGCCAGAAGAACGCATGGTTAAATGTGCTCCCAAGAAGATGATGGAGGTTGTATTGGAAGACCATAGGTATTCACAAACATAAATGTATCATATTTGATGTTAAATTTTATTTTTACGGCTTTCTACTATTAAACACTTTATTCAATTTTTGTTCAGGGGTATCCGTCTAGATTGTACGTTGTGGGCTCATGATATTGATAAAGTGATCGAGGGAATCAATGAAGGATTGACAAATCCACCAATTTTTTGTTTGCAGATGGTGAAATCTACGCGATATAATGGTATCACTATTATATACTCCTTCCGTCCCATATCTTTCTTCTCACTTTCCTTTTTGGGTTGTCCCACTTCTTTCTTCTCGTTTCCTAAAATGGAAATAAAATTAAAGCTAAATGACTCTTTTGCCCTTCCAGGACAAGGCCCAATTACTCCTTTTTAATCCTCTCCCGTCACCCCCTTCCCCATTTTCTTCGACAAACAGCGAGAGTCGGCGAAAGAAGAGTCACCTACGAAGGTCTTAACCCAACGTCGGGACTGTGGTTTCCGATGGGCGTGCAACATAGAGCAGAGGCGGCGAAGGAGCGAAAAACAACGACGACTTATGGCTATCTTCGGCGGCAACATGATGGCGACTCAGAGGTGACCTGACGGCGACGGGCGATCAATGGCAGAACCAATCCAGATCCGAAAAAATGACGATCCAAACTGATGGCGACTTAGTGTTTACCAGATATATTGATAGAGCCTCAAGAACGCGTCCGATAAACCAAATCCAATTGATTGTTCGTTGTGCTTCGATTTTCTAGATTTGAATTTCTTTTCTTCAACTTTTTAGATCTAAAATTTAGATTTTGATGATATTTTTAATAAGCTGAGGTTAAAGAAGAAGAAAACTACACTAAAGAAAGATTAGAAGGGGAAGAGCAAAGTGAAGAAGAAGAAGGGGGGAGGTGAGGCGGGGTCGGATGGAAGAAAAGAAGAAAACTACAGTAAAAGATACGGTGGGGAGAGGGGAAAAGTGAGGGTAAAACTGGAAAGTCAAACACTTTTTCATTCTACATTAAAAACCGTGCCATGTCAAAACGAGAAGTTTCAACTGGGACGGAGGGAGTACTACCTCCGTCCTAGAGTTTGTCCATTTTCATTTTTACACATCATCCAATACACTTTTTTAATCCATTTTATCTTGTAATTTGTATATTAAAAAATTATAGAAATTATATATTAATAATCTATATGTTAAGACAAATCAAAGAAAATCACACATGACTATATTTAGGCTTACACATTGAGAGAATTTGATGAGACAAAGTACTTAGATTACCAGTTTCAAAGGTCAAAAGTGAGCAAATACTCCGGAACGAAGGGAGTAATCTTTTAACACTATATCTTTTTATAAAATTCTTTCATGCCTAACGATTGCAATAATTAAAATTCAGGAAAATTATATGTTTCTACCTTTTATAATGTGAGTAAAGTTGCGCTTAATGAAGACTGAGACGAAGTTAAAGACTTCAGAAAAGAGTAAGTTAATATTATTTTATTTTAATTGTGGTTTCATTTTTATATAATGAAAAACATACACACACACGCACATATAGTATTGGGATTTTCATATGTTGTTGGGGATTAGTTATGATTTTGACAAAATTTATAAAGCTTTTCAATTAAGAAGGAATATAGTGTCATATGACGGATTACAGATATTGTATTGTGTCACGAGGTGGCCTTCACCGGAGATACCTCAGAGTTATTTTTATCGTAAACCAAAAAGTATCCATGCCTTAAGGGCAAAAACTCTCCTCTCAATTCGAGGTCTTACTTTGGCCTATGTTCTTTATTCATTCTAATTTATATATATATAAAAATTAAACACACACGCAAAAAAATTCCACATATACCAAATTAAATTCAATGTATGTTTGGATACAAATCATATCAGAACACACACTTACAAAATATAGAACAAAAATGTTATGTGGTAAAGCTTCCACGTGGTGTTAAAAATGCCAAAGACGTAAGCTCAATCGTCGTCAATGGAAGCTCATGAATAATAATATCTCTTTCATTGCGGCGTTGACATTGATATAATGCTAGTTGACACAGTACTGTCCAAGTACGATTTGAATAGTTGGTGACCATGAACAGAATTTCTTGCATTGTTGGTCTCTTGTCCGCATCGTGTTGCACACTAAGTAACCCAACGTGTATCCATGCGATGACTTCTTCAGCTTTATAAGATTGGCCTAGAAATTGTTCTACGATCTCTAGAACTCAACAATCCAGCTGCTCTAGAAATTGTAGATCAAGCTCTAGGCCAATCTTATAAAGCTGAAGAAGTCATCCCATGGATACACGCTACGTTACTGAGTGTGCAAGACAATGCGGACAAGAGACCAATAATGCAAGAAATTCTATTCATAATCACCAACTATTCAAGTCGTACTTGGGCAGTACCGTGTTAACCAGCATTATATCAAGGTCAACGCCCCAATGAGAGAGATATTATTATTCATGAGCTTCCATCGACGACGACTGAGCTTACGTCCTTGGCATTTTTAACACCACATGGAGGCTTTACCACATAACATTTTCATTCTATATTTTGTAAGTGTGTGTTCTGATATGATATGTATCCAAACATACATTGAATTTAATTTGATATATGTGGAATTCTTTTTGCGTGTGTGTTTATTTTTAAATATACCCAACGTGTATCCATGAGATGACTTCTTCAGCTTTCAACTTCATTTATGAACTCTTCAACCCCTTGTTGGGAGGTTTCAGAGAGCCTTTTCACGACCACTTCCTCCCCAGTACGAAGCTTGCCCTAATGAAAGAAAGAAAGTTTATGGTCTAATTTATAATAGTAACATAATAATTGTAAAATAATAGGATAAATTTTGTAAAGATTGGCAACTAAATGCATGGGCTTCATCATCATATATACCTTATATACACAACCAAATCCACCGCTCCCAATTTCACAAGCAAAATCATTGGTTATGACTTTAATTGTATCAAAATCATACCGGGAGGACATGCTGGAAATGTCAATCGGGTCTACAAGGAGGACATGCAAAGATGATAAGATTATTATAAGGAATAAAAGAAAATGTAACGCGGTCAATAATATATATTTTCTAATAATTAACCTGCTGCACTTAAAGGCTGCATCTCATATTCCCTTTTGGCGAGTAGTTCAATCTCAAAAGACATAAGATTGCAATTGCAAGTATAATCCCACCAAGTGCAACTGTAGTTGCAACAATAGCCATCCTCAAGGAAGATTTTCTCTTGCTTCCTAGAAAAAATCAGAAAATGATGTCAATACATGTTAGTAGCGATTCTCATTGTCCAAATTCAAACCAGACTGAATGAAAGACCGAAGCCAATACGTACGTACTGTTGAGTGTGAAGCCAGGAAGCTTGGTGGAAGCCAACAAAAAATTGGCAGGAAACTACATGGAAGCTTCAAACTTCCTTAAACATTGCTCTCTCCTAAATAATCTCTATTTAAGAGATGTTAATGTGCTAATGATGGTGCAACAACAATGAAATAAAATCTTCCTAGTTGCCCCTTGTGGAGTAGGTTGCAATTGACGACCGAACCACGTTAAATCTTGTGTCGTTTTCTTTTCTGCAGTTGATTCATGATTGTGTGTTGTTTTCGCGTGCGTTTATTCCCAACAAGTGGTATCAGAGCTTTAGTTCGTCAACACCTGAAATCCAATCAGCAGAAACTAATCAGAGAGGAAAGTCACCCTTGTGCAGTAGCAGGAGCTTGTGTTTGGGCTGCTGCCGCCGGAGCACCACCATCCCCGTTGATCCACGAAGAGCTGCCGCACTTGAATCAGGAGAGCCGCAGCTGGGCGAGTCACGAGAGACTCGTCGGGCAGCCAAGAATCGTTGCCGCCAAGTTGAGAAGTGTTCGTTAGAGGGACGACGATCAGATCGGGCAGGAGTTGCAGTAGTAAGAGACTCGCCGCTTCCGCCATCAATCACGCAGCCCAGAACCACCGTCAGCCGCACGCAGAGGAGCAGCCGCTGGTCCGTCCCACCGCCGCCATTCCACCATTAGGAATACTAGATATGTTACAAAATAGAATATTATTATTTACTACTTTCCATATTGTGTTATTCCCTTATTATATTACTACCTTTGTTCAAAGTATTTGTCCACTTCCATTTTTACACACCATCCAATACACTTCTTTAATCCATTTTATCTTGTAATTTGTATATTAAAAAATTATAGAAAATATATATTAATAATCTATATGTTAAGAAAAATCAAACAAAATCACACATGACTATATTTAGGCTTACACATTGAGAGAATTTGATGAGTCAAAGTGTTTGGATGAACAGTTCCAAAAGTCAAAATTGGACGAATACTCCAAGAGGGAGGGAGTAAAATATCATTCTTCTCATACTTAGATTAGAATACTCAATTGTAATCCCTATATATAGGGATGTATCTTTCAATATTGAATAAAACCAATTTTCATCAAATTATATGACATAGCCTTCACTCAAATGTCATGATTTAGTGTTAAATACTACCTCCATTTCCATGTGTGTGACAAATTTTGATATTTTTCAGTCAACTATTTTCAAGCTTTGATGTATAACTAAATAAAATATTTTTTGTCTATCCATACTTTATTTAAAAAGAGAGGAAGTCAAGTTTTGGTTTTCCTGCCCAAGAGTATGGATAACTTACATGGTATGTTAGCACCACCAATTGGTAATTTATCACACTATGAGACTAAATTGGTATATAAAACGTAAAAAAATTAAGTATTAAACGCACATAAAAAATAGTACGTGTCAAATACTTACCAATTTATTTAATATTCATGGTTATGCTAAATACTTACCAGTATTAAATACTATCCATTCATGTTAAAACATAAGAGTTTTATTGTGCCTGTTTCGGTTTATCATGTTTGACTGAATTTATTTTGAAATCATTTTATATGACAAATGGTATAGAGTTAAAAAATAAAAATTACATATTAAAATACTACAACAAAAGATCTACAAAACTAGTAGTGACAATAGTACTTTATTTTATCAAATTACTATCCAAAATAGATAAAGAAAGTGAATAAATTTGACTCTGTGAATAGTAAACAAGCATTATAAATTGGGACGAAGGGAGTAACTCTTAAGTATTAACTCTTTGGTTATGCTGATTTGTTTTTTACCGTAAGTCTGAATACAAAAAAAATAAACGTAAGAAATGGTATGCATTAAATACTTACCATTTTATTTATTATTCACGAGTATGCTAAATAATTACCAGTATTAAATACTTACAATTTGTTTACATGACAGTACAACAATAGTCAGAATTATGATATATTTAAATTTCATAAACGATACTCGGTATTTAATATGTTAAAAAAACAAAAATAATGATACACCATTAAATAAACATTTGTTCGTGATTATTGAACGAAAAAAAAGGAAAAAGAACTAATTACTATGACTTAGACTATGGTAATAAGCACAAAAATTGGTAGTTGAGTCTTATACTCCCTCCGTCCACAAATAAACTTTACATTGCACGTTACGATGTTTGACTGAAGTTATTTTCAAATCATTTTATATGAAAAATGGTGTAGAATTAAAAAATAAAAATTACATATTAAAAACTATATCAAAAGATCTACAAAACTAGAGGTGACATGACTATTATTTTATCAAATGGGTGACGAAAATAGGCCAACAAAGTGAATAAAGTTTGACCCTGTGAATAGTGAACGTAAAGTTTATTTGTGGACGGAGGGAGTACAATTAATAAATAGAAGAAAAATGAATAGTAATTATAAGAATATATGGAAATGGTAATAAGGAATATAACTATATGAGCTGAAAGGAATGTAATTAAGAAATATTAATAAACATAGCAAGCAGGATTAATAATCAGACTTGCCCAAATTTTGATCCATACATTTCGTACATATTCAAATAAATAACATTTTATTTATGGTAAAAAATTTATCAATAAATACTATGCGAGGAATTAACGAAGACTGAAATGGAAAAGGTAAATTGCTTAAGGGTATAATCTTTTCAGAATAAATATTTTAATTCAAAATGGAAAGTATATATCATCAATGGCATATCAACATAACTTAATTTCAGTGTTAAATTATATCTCTTGAAAAAAGCCCAAACCCCCAACTTGATTTGGAAGGAAAAAAAATATATTTAAGGATCAGTGATATGGTCCCCTTTTTGGAAAATAAATAATAAGTCCATATACAATGATATGGAAAAGTGTTTAAACAGTAAAAATATTCACTATTCATTTATGTTAAACGGGAAATACTTACATTATGATACAGAAATGGAAAATTAATATTCACACCCATTTATTTTAGAAATCATTATTTAGGGAAAGCATATTTAGTAATCGATTAATGAAACAAAAATGGTAAAATGCAGGTAAGGACGTATCCAATTAATGAAATTAAAATGGAGAATGTAATAAAACCATGGTAATTACCATATATAAACGTGATCAAATTAGCATTTAATTCATATCATTTTAATAATGGTAATAAATTCTATAATAATATCACAGCGTGAGAATTAAAATAATATGCCAATGGAAAATATGCCAATGGAAAAGGTAATTTGAAACGACATAAGCTATTTTGAAAAAAGCAAGGGATATATGTTATTATTCTCATAGTCAGACAATTGGGTTTTTGAAAACAGTATATATACACAAATAATGTTTTCTTGAAAAAACAACAAAGTGTGTTATACTGAAAAGTGATTAGTGATCAAAAAGTCGAACTATAAGGTGTAATTCTTATAACACCGACATAATGGGGAATTAAAGATGCGACAAATCTACAAGAATTATTAGTACAAAGCGACTCAATTCTCAAGCAAACAAAAGTGTACCTGTAAGTCATTCTTCAGAATTCATGTTTGACAAAAGTTTTGTGGTAGTTATTAATTTTTTTAAAAAAACAATTCATTCTGTAGCACCCAAATGCAGACTACCTTTTTAAAGATTCCAATGCAAAAAAACCCTTGAAATGATTTGTAAGCATTCAACAAAAATATTGTAAAATAAATCAATGATTCAAGATGATAGCAGTACGAAAACGATATATTTTTAGTGAATGGAGTAGTAATACCTTAACATTACTTTGCAAGTATAATCTGTTGGAACTATTGGCTGGTAAATACTCTCCAAGATCTTCCCAATTAACATGTTTCACCTGTAAACTTAATAATAAAAAAACTTTGTTATAGGATCGGTAATTAATTTACGACCTTAAATCTACAGAGTAGAATCTGGAAGATTTTCATACGAAAAAGTAATTGGGTTTTTAATTTTCATTATTATAAACATGTAGCACCTATAAGCTTAACGATAAAAATAAAATCTTTATTGGATCGGTACTGAATTTACGAACTTAATCGCAAAAAAGAATAAAGCTTATATCTACAGAGTAGAATCTGAATGATTTTCGTGCGAAAAAATAATTGAATTTTTAATTTTCAATATAATTATTATGATAGATCTGCGTTTTAAAATCAACGATCATTATTATTGTCATACATTCTCGAATTTTAAACAAATAAATTAAATCAATTTCTAAATTCAGTATTCCAAAAAAAAATGATGGAGAAATTAGATCTAACTTGAAATTAACCACAGATTAAGATCTTAAACTCACACTTAGTGAAACGCACCCATGGCCGATAACGATACGAAATGGTCTTCTGTGAACCCGAAGAAAACCAATTCAAACGTCGATTTCGGGAAGTGGAATTAAGAAAACGAATGGATCTGGAATAAGATTTATGGAAGGAGACGGAAGAGAATTAAGATGAAAGGAATGGATAAGGGAACGTGCGGCTGAGATATCAATATTATCATCCGAGATCTATTTTTATTGAATTAATTAAGGTGGGAAAATGGGCCTACATGTATTGGGCTACACGATCCGTTTTTATTTGTTTGGGCTGTTAGTTATCATTTGGGCGCTGAGTTTAAAAAATACGCCATCTCATAAAAATAATTATTGGGATACATAAAAAAAACTTTGAATGTTTAATTTTTATTCCAGTCATTACTTTTCATTTGTAATTACTTCAAAACATGCAGTGTATAAATTAAATTCATTAAATATGCAATTCATTTTAATTGATTACAAAGAAAATAAAACGCTCTTTGGCTACCAAATAATTGATTGGAGTGCTGATATTTCCTTATTTGTGTAAATATAAGACATTGGTTGCTCTGTACATTCAATGTATGTTTCCACTAATTGTATGAATAATGTAGTGTATAAATAATTCTTCCTAAATTTGTAAAGCAAAAAGTTTTGTACCATACAATAATATAATCTCTACATTCTATTATATCTGATTTTTTTAGAATTAAAAAAATTATAGTAATTTAGTAACATAAAAGTGACATATGCGACGCACGGGTGTGATACTAGTTAGTTAAAAACAATATTTTGAAAGCATTCTATATAATAAATCTAATAAAATTAATTTTGTATCAATATTTAACATCACTTTTACTTAACTTGATGTAAATATTTACCTTTTCAACTTAAAAAATAAAACGTGAATAAATAATAAAGGGCGGAAGGAGTACAAGTATGTTTTTTTGGGTTAAATCGGAAGGCCAGTCCATGCTTAAAAAATGAAGTGCCCCATTTCTTTTGCTTTTGTTCCGTAACTTCTTCCGCACATATTAAAAATATATAAAAGAAACACATAAAATAACGTCACTTACTTATATACCGATTGCTTACATCAATTCATTTGGAGCACTGAAAATGCCTCGTTGGTAAAAATGATTATTCATACTTCTCCTAACCTCCCCTAAACCCCAACCCCTACCACCCCACCCCATACTCTCATTCCTACCACTCTATGTTCTTATCTCGGCCGGCCCTGGCAATATACTGTCATGGTAGGGAGGGATATGTGTGAGGCAGAAGTGAAGAGTCACAAAATCGGCGAGTTTAATTTGCTACACTTATTGACCTTCTCAAATTAGCATTAATTATCTCGATTATTAATGAAATGAAGACGTACCAATAAAACTTGTTGGGGATTCCTCCAAGTCCCACACCGGAGGGAGAAGAAAAAATGGACTAAAATATATAGGTTCACCCAACCCCATTAGTATGAAGCCTTTTGGGAGGTGCCCAAAAACAAATCCGTGAGGGCTTGGCCTAGAGCAGACAATATCATACTAATGCGGGGTTGGGGTGAGGGCATGCGCAGTCCCAACAAAACTAACTCATTTTAAATAAAAGTTCATCACTTTATTGTTTGTTAAGTTAAAGAAGGTGGTGGTCCTCAACTCTTTTTCTGGCCTTCTAATAAATTTTAACAATACAATTTTAAATTCTTTGTCATTTTATTTATTACTAGCCTGTAATAGTTATTTCTGGCCAAAGTGACTTTTACTTTGGGATGGAATAAAGGGGAATTAGTTGCCATATTTACACTCTGCACTAATTATATACGGAGTATTGTTTATTTTGATTATTATAGTTGGGGGAACAAATCTATTGTCTAGGTATCATCAAAATTGATATCAACAATCTCAACATTATGGACGTAAGTACATTTTATCGATCATCTTATTTTCCCTTCCGAAAGTTATACTCCCTCTGTTTCTTAAAACGATTCTTGTTTTGACTTTGGGACAAAATAAGGAAAGTTTAATTTTAGTTGATTTTCCAATTTTGCTTCTGATATGATAGGTAAAAGTAAGATGTGATAATTTAGTTGTTAGTGAAAAAGTATGATATAATAGGTAGGGTATGAAAAAGTAGGGTAAAAGTGGTTTTTAATAGAAAAAGGAAGTGTTTTAAGGAAACAAAAAAATGAAAGAGGAAGTGTTTTAAGAAACAGATGGAGTATATATCATCTTCAATGTAATATGCCTTGGAATTTTGTTTGGTTATTTGATTGCTAATAACGCTAATATACAACTGTATTTCTAGGCAATTTCATGACGGATTATCAAGTCTTTTTTTATCAAGAAAAATTATTTCTCGAGTGGAAATCGTCAGATTGTAAGTAATAACAAATCATATCTCCAAACTTAAAAATGGAGTACTTTAATGAAATTTTATTTCGAAATTGAATTAAGTGTGTTCTCGATCTATTATGTATGTATGCAAGTGTAAGAGCAACTCCAATGGGAGGGGCAAATGAAGAGGTAAGATACCATAATTGCCATATTTGCCTTTTTCTTCACAAAAATCAAACCTCCAATGAAGAAAGTAAATCAAAAGATAATTTACCTTCTTCTATTTTGGAGAAGTATCTTTACCTCCTCAAATACAAAAGGTAAAATATTTGATGCCAAAGCCAAGTAATCTCCGGTGCATCGTCAATCTTCTATTTTCGAAATTAGACGGAATTGTGAGATATGAAATTAAGAAACAAATGGAGTAAAAGAGGAGTGAAGATAGAGTTTTGTATTTGGGGATGAGGGAGACAAACCCTGATCATATGTAACTTGGAAATCCCATAATTTAAGGTCCATTTTGTAATAACATATTTGGATAATAACCCTCAATTTAATTATGAGGGAGCTTAAATTATGGAATTTCCCAAATATGAGGGAAATCACAGATATGTTATTGAAAAACCTTTTAGAATTTGAAAACTTGAATCCCACAAGCTTCAACATTTTTATTTTTGTGGATGTTTTAATTTGTGATGCTTTTATGTTATGATGTTATGGAAGGAATGTTTCATGTGATTGAATAATGTAATGTGTATTTATTTTTGTTTATATATATTGTGAATGTTTAGAAAAATTACATTTTAAAAAATTAGTTCTCACGATTGATATGTGACAATATTTCAAAAAAAAATACTCCGTAGTTTCACGGATTGATCTGTGACAAATCATACCATAATGCGTTTGATTGTTCTTACCTCCTAACCCCCATTAAATTAAACCTCTCAACCCAGCCCCGTCTCTAAGATTTTTCTTTTTTTCCTTTCTAACCACACAAGATAAATTAATTTTTTGTCTTATTTTCTTTTCTTTTTTGAATTATTATTTGAACCAAACACATTGTTAGTGATTTATTTAGTGTCCGAAGTCTAAACTGTCTAAAGCTACACGGGTTCTTGTTTTTATATTGTTATGAGAAAATGTATATACTCCGTGTGTAATATAATACACACACAGATATATAGTACGGAATAGATGAATTTATTTAAATAGCACTAAAACATAATAACTTTCTCTAAATAGCACCACATGTGTTTTTCTTCCCAATGTAGCACTTTTAGTCATTATGCATTAGTCATTATTCAGGTAAATATTCGTCATTACTAGACATTATAGACATTATGAAGTCCTATTTAGAAAATAAAATAATTTAAGTGCTATTTAGGAAAATGACTTAAGTTTTAGTGCTATTTTGTGCAAATATTTCTATATAATACTCTATCCGGGTGCCAAAAAGATTTACACCTTTCAAAAAAATTACGTCCCACAATCTCCTATCCATTTCTATTAAAAACCACTTTTACCACTTACTTTTTCAAACCCTACCTATCACATCATACCTTTTTCCTAATAATCTACCCATCACATCATATTTTTACTCATCATATCAAAGATATTTTTGGAAAGTCAACACAAAATTATCTCTCTCTTAATTTCAATTTTAGTCAAAACGTGTAAATCTTTTTGGGACGGAGGGAGTAATATATTAATGCCATCCACGTAAAAATATGATGACTATATATAAGCCACTGAACTAGCCTGCAGTATGGGGCGAATATCTTTATTTCTTTATTAAAAGCTCAACAACTTGTATTACTATCTTATATAGAAAAAAAGCATCAAAACTCCATTAAGATCAAACTAGAGAAATGCTAGAGTCACAAAAACTCCAATCACAAAATACACAAACTTTCCATTTGTGTACCTCACCAAGTGAATAAAGTAATGATAAATAATTAAAAAGTAGACATTTAAATACATAAATAGTAAGTTTGTGTATTTTGTGACCAAAA